TGGGCCAGGTTAATGTGCAATTCTTACCAGGTTTTGATTGTAGCAAATATTCCCAATTGTTCTCCAAGTTCCAGGGTTCTGTAATGTTCTAATATACTTTTCAGAAGTGTCCTTTATTATAAGATACTTTTTATATCATAGCAAAAAACTCTTTTTTTAAAATTTGCTCTCTCTAGTGAATGATTTCATTTTTTTCACTTTTAGCAGCCCCCTCAATGGCTACAGATAAAATTCCAGATTCTGAGCCTACGATTGCAGACACATACAAGCTCTCTTTCTCCTCTTTTACAGCTAGCCTTTTTTTTTTTTTTTTTTTTTTTTTTAATGTGTATGCGTGTATTGCTTGCTTGTACGTATAAGTGACCCCGTGTCGTGCAATGCCCATGGAGGACAGAAGAGGCCATCAGATCCCCTGGAATTGGAGTTATGAACAGCTGTTAGCAGCCATGGGGGTGCTGGAATTTGAACCAGGGTCTTCTGCAAGAACAGCCAATGTTCTTAACCACTGAGCCATCTTTCCAGCCCCACAGCTAGCCTTCTTTTACTTACACTCAGAGTCCTTCAGTAGTAGCTTCCACAATTAGGTCTGGTGGCACATGGCTGTAATCCCAGTACTCAGGAGGCTGAGGCAGAAAGATTGCTATGAGTTCAAAGCCAGCCTGGATACAAAGTGAAATCGAGGAGGGAGAGGGTGAGGAAAGGAAGGAGGGAGAAAGATGCTTCCCTTCTCCCTCCATAGTTCAAATTTCCACTCCTTTTCCTCTATATTTAAGTTCCTTCTTTCCTTCCTTCCTTGTGGGTACTGTCCAACTTTGACCTAATACCTCCTTCTTCCTTAATCACCCTCTAAACTCAGATAGCTGATCTCTATCTCTTCTTTCTCTCCCCTCTCCCTTTCTCTCTCTTTTCTCCCCTCTTCTCCACTGTCAAGCATAGGCTAACCTTGAACTCAGGATCCTCTAATTCTAGGTTCTCAAATGTTAGGATTACAGGCAGGTTCCATGACACCCCAAGTAAGACATGATTTCCTTAAAGCTGTCTTGGTACTTTCCTTCTTTTGACTCACTAGTTAACTTACCATATGACTATGTCTTTTCTCTCCAACTACGCAATAAAAATAGGGCCACCTCCAGATTACTGGGTTTACTAACTTGCATACTACACAGACATTCCATTAATATTTGCTGATTAACAAAGAGTTGGAAGACAGAAATAACACCTGTTGCAAATTAAACATACCAATTTTGTTACCTGCGATTGTTAAGCTTCTGAGGATATTATTTGACTCAGAGCATCAGTAATCTGCACCATAATAAGCCAAGTTATAATTGAATTCAATTTTTATGGAGTCAAAATGACTCATGTTCTGCCATTGCACTCGACGCCCCCTGAGTTCTAGTTTTATGTAATCAAGCTTGTCAACACTATAGGTCATATTTATCAGGTATTAGCATCGGGATTCTTGAGATCACATGTCAGTCTTTGATATGATGCCTTCCTGGAATAGCTCAAGAGTACTCAGTTTCTACCTTACTGGAAGATTTGAGAAACAAACTGTGTTAGATGCACATATTGGGGTGATCCCCAAGTTTCTTCTCAACTATAGGCACATTAAGTAATTAAATGCCTACATGGTTGGGGCTGCCTAAATCTCTGATCCTCTTTCATTGTCTTGGTAATGTCTAAATGAGAAGAGTGATAGTTTAAAGCTTAGGAAAGTGAAATATACATTAAAAAGGAAAGCAGAGGGAGGGAAGGTATAGGACCTGAGACCTTCCTGCACACAATGCTGAATTAGTACAATACACAGAATAATCAGAAACTATGTCTATAAAAGTCTACATGATGTACAAGTCCTAACATCAATTTTATGTCAATGTGTATGAGGTGACAGATGAGAGAATTACTTCTTTCCAGATTCTAATAAGTAGATTACGAGAATTCTCTTCAAAAATCCACCCTAACCAAAAGATCTCCTAAGACTTACATGAGTCTTGTACAGGCCCCATGTTAGCTGCTGTATTCCCTTTTCTTCTCATAGCTAGTGTAGGTGAATTCTTATAAATTAAATATACACACAAAGAGATCCCATTTAGTTATAGGCTGAGTAGATGGTGGTCTTCTTTATTAATTCCCACCGAATCAAACTATCATCTTCATTTCTCTTGCTGAGATGTCCAGAAGGATTTAGAGTAACAGGAAATGTATTCTTTCTGTTTTGTTTTGCTTTTTGGTAAGAGCAAGTAGAAGCTTCTTGCTGAATGACAGCAGAAAAAAACAAAGGTTAAAACAACCTAGCCCCTTTACCACCTTTCTTTCAGGAAGCCACTCCAACTGCTGTGGTGTGAATCTGGTGGTGCCACCAATCCTGTGCCCTGTGAGCCTGGCTAAAGAATTACGTACATAATATTCTTGTGTCTAATCTAGCCAATCAGGGTCCTTCCCTGGAATGTGTAAACACTGAGCAAGAATTGTCTCTCTACTCTATGATGATGTAATGCAGGAGCTGTCAGGAATCCATCTTTACTGCATTTAGTTAACAAAACAGAATGAGGCTTACAATCAGAGAAGCAGAGATGGGCACTGAGGAATTGGGAGTTCTTTGTTAAAGGGGGAGGACACAAAAATATCACAATGATTCAGTGACACCCTATCCCTTCCCAGGTTTGTGAGCTAATAAATCTCTTTTGGTTTAAGCTCATTTGAGTTGAGTTTCTGATATTTATAAGAGAAAGAGGCTTAACTTTAAACAATATGACTGCCTCCAGAGTGAGTCTAAGAACTCATTAACAGTGAGAAATCCACGATAAATCTAGTTCCTGATTAACACATGTAACGTACTTATAATGTCATACACAGCAAAGGATTTAATTTAGAATAGTTTGATCTTATAAACATACACAAATGCAACATGAGACTGTGGGTCAAGAAAAGATGTCATCTAATGTCAAAAGGCCTTACTACACTGGGGAAATAGCTCAGTTAAGTGTCTGCCATGCACACATGAAGACCTGAGTTCAATTCCCAGAGCTCACAGAAAAAAAGCGGGAGATGGAGACAGGCAGATCCCTCGGCCCACTGGCCTGCCTGTCTAGCCTACGCACCAAGCCCCAAATTAATAAGACACCCTATCTCAGAAAACAAGGTGGGAGGCATCTGAGCAAGATGGCAGTGGGTAAAGCACTTCTGTGCAAGCCTGGCGACCTGAGTTTGATCCACAAAAAGATAGGAGAACTGATTCCACAAAGTTGTCTTTTGACCTACACACACACACACACACACACACACACGCACGCACGCACGCACGCGCGCACACACACACACACACACACACACACACTAATAAATAAATTTTAAAATTAAAAAACTACAATGGGCCTGAGGCGATGGTTCAGTCTACAAAGTGTTGGATGCACAAATATGAGGACCTGAGCCAATCCCCCAAAATCTACATTAAAAAGCTGAGCAGGGTGGCACAAGCCTGTAACCTCAATAAGAGGAGCCCTAGGGCTTGCTAGGCAGTAATTCTAGGTGATTCAGCAAGCTCCACGGTGAGCAAGAGACCCTGTCTGGAAAAATAAGACAGATGATGTGGAGATGATGGGTCAGTAGTTAACAGTAGGTCCTCTTGCAGAGGACCAAAGGTCCCCAGAACCCACATCCTGTGGCTCACAATCACCAGTAACTTCGGTTCCAAAGGACTGGACACCCTCTTCTGGATTCTGTGGATACCTGAACTCACACATGCACAGACACAACTTAAAAATTAAAAAAGAAGGGGCTGGAGCAATAGCTCAGCGGTTAAGAACACTGGTTTTTCTTGCAGAAGATCCAGGTTTGAATCCCAGCACCCACATGGCAGCTAACAACTGTCCATAACTCCAGTCCCAAGGGATCTGACAGCCTCTTCTGACCTCCACGGGCATTGCACGGCACGGGTACACTTACCTACATGCAGGCAATACACGCTTACACATAAAATAAAAATAATAAATTTTTTTTTAATTTAAAAAAATGAGCTGGAGAGCTGGTCCAGCAGTTCAGAGCACTCACTGGCTGCCCTTGCAGAGGACCGGGGTTTGGTTCCCAGCACCCACATGACAGCCAGCAACCACCTGTAACTCCAGTTCCAGAGGATCTGACCCCTCTTCTGATCTCTGCAAGCATTGCACAACACGTGTTTACTTATGCACGTGCTGGTAAAATGCCCATACACAGAGAATAAAAAAATTTTTTTGGTTAAAAGAATATTTTTAAGGTGAAGAATGATTGAGGAAGACATGCAGTAACAAACTCTGGCTTCTATGTGCATGCTCATACAAAAATGAACATGTACAAAGACATAAAAAAGGTGGACATCACACATACACACACAGAGGCCTTACTTCCCCCTCATGACATTCCCTGCCACACTAATAATAAAGCTAACAGTCACCAAAATACTCCAATATTCTGGAAGGCAGAATAACTTTCTGCTTAACTTTCAACATGAGCAAACCTACTGCTTAAACGTGGGTCCTCCATCCTCACTCATATTGGATATACTTCACACACACAAGTGCTGCTTCCACACACCACTGACACAGCTGGAGTAGAGTTAGCGGTCGTTTTGGTGGGCGGAGGGAGAGTGCAGTAGCGTGCTCAGTGCAAAACACACACCCCTGCGCTAGCACTAGTGTGGAAAGTACACAGGAGCGCCGCCTACTCGGAGAAAGCGCCTCCGCCACCGCTGACACCCCAGTACCAGCCTTCCTTCACCAAAGCACGCCCTTTTCGTGCACCCAAACTCTGGTCGGCTGCACCCCCCCTTCCCAAGTGCCACACAGGGACAACTGGCCGCGGCACAAGCTGCCTTCCACCCTGCGGCCCTCGCCCGCGCACCCCAGGACGCAGGGTGAAACCGGCCCCGCGGCTGCGCATCGGCCCGGCAGGTGGGCACCGCCACGCCAACCGGCACACAGCTGCGCGGCTCCCAGCGGGACGGTGGGTCTGACCCTCACCTCGCAAGCGGCCGGAGGAACCGGCGGAACCGGCCTGACCCAGTGCGAAGCCGAACGCGGGGGCCTAGGTCGCTGAGGCCGGGCTGCTGAGAGCGTCCAGGGCCGTACTGTCGCCGGGAGGGACAGGGCCGCAGCCCCGGCCTGCGCTCCCCTGGCGCGGGGTCCCCTCACACGCCGCCCCGCTCACACGCCGCCCGGCCTGTCTCAGGTAGTAGGAAGACATTACCTGAGCTCCCGGCCCCGGACGCCTGCCCACGTGACGCCCTGGAGCTCACGCATGCGCAGTCTCTGCTACTCCTGGCCGCGCTTCCGCTTTCTTCTCCCAGACTTTCTGTCCTCGTCGGTTCGAACCTCTACGCCGGAAACAGTGTCTCAGCCCTCGGATTCAGCAGACACGCCCGCCGTACACGTTTTAGGGACGCGGGGAGTGGGACCATCCAAGGAGGAGCACAGACCACTCACCAGAAGTCCTTGAGATGGAGAGAATCATGCCTTTCAGCCCTAAGTCTGTGCGTTCACCGGAGTCCAGAAACCCTTCAAGCGGGGTGGAGTGGCTGATGCCCGTAATGCCAGCCTTCAGGGCTGAGACAGAAATATCCAGACCAGCATGGGCTACGTAGTTCAAGCCAGATTGGGATACAGAGTGAGACCTGTCAGAGAGACGGAGAGAAAGAGGCAGACAAGAGAAATTGATTTTGCAGTGGGGAGAGCTAGTGACCTCTATTAATTTTCTTTTTTAAAATGAGTGCAGAAATGAGAGAGAGAGAGAGAGAGAGAGAGAGAACACGAAGTTGTCGGGGCTGGAGAGATGGCTCAGCAGTTAAGCGCACTAACTGCTCTTGCAGAGGACCCAGGTTCCAATTCCCAGCACCCACATGGCAGCTACAAACGGTCCTTAACTTCAGTTCCAGGGAAATCTGAAGCCCTCTTCTGACCTCCGTGGCACTGTACGACATGGGTGCACTCACATACATGCAGGCAATACACTCATACACACAAAATAAAAATAATAAAATATATTTTTTAAAAAGCGAAGTTGACCAAAAAAAGTGATGGGGAGATATGGGAGGTGTTGGAAGGGAGGGAGTGGGTGTGGATTTGATCAAAACCCCTTATATGCATGTATGAAATTCTCGATAAAGTTTTTTTTAATTAAAAAAAATGAGTGCACAATTGCCAGGTTTGGCAGGTAGTGGGGGGGGCATTGTTTTTGACAATAAGCATGGATACTAAAATCTATCTCCAATTTATCCTCAAAAAAGTATATCCTTACATCAAAAATACAGAAGGGTCACATTCTCAAAAAAAAAAAAACCTTTGTGTATTTTTCTTATTGCTACTGAAGAAAGATGAAAACTTTAAGGACAGCTTGGCTCTTGCAGATGCCACTGCAGATAACATTAACCCCAGGATGTAGATATGATATGTGCTGGGCCTATGAGCAACAAAATTACAAGGAAAAGAGTGCCAGAAGGTGCTCCAGGAAGGAGTTACAGAAAATACACAGTATGGCAAACATTTGTTGAACATTACCCAGGCTCACTATACTTCTGGGCCTCAGGAAGATCCAGAGGTGAGAATGACACAGCCCTGCCATCTAGGTACTTTGGGTCTCAGAATATTGTGTCAGTAAAGGCAGGCTGATTAAAGTGATATAAAGAAAAGTATAAGGTGGTCATTTTAGGGACAAAGATGAAATAGTCAACAACTCAGGGAGAAGGTGATATCCTATGTTGCCTCTGTAGGACTTCTCTAAGCAGAGACCAGGGAGGATGCAAGCTTAGGGACCAGTTGCTGGCCTGATATGATTACGATATGGTGATTTAATCATCACCATTAAAAACGCATTTGAGCCATGACTACAGATGTATCTGTATATACTACGTGTACCCAGAGACTGTCTAAAGTAGGACAGACTGGTAAAACCGGAACCCCTAGTGACAGAGAACTATTCAGAGTGCTGGGCAGAAAGGAAATTAGCAGACACATAGGGAACAGAATTGTGGGGATGAAAGATGAGGAAGTTGCTAAGTGACCTTTTCAAAATGTTGCTGTGGCAGCCCTGCATTTATTCTGGATACTCTAGAAAGCAAACCTGATGTGTGAGTGGGTATTAGAGAAAAGCAGATTTCAACCCAAGCTGCCTTTGAAATTCCTTCAAAGTACAACCTTTATATGTACTCTTGTTCACAGTATAGAATAGTGTTACATGCTTCCCTGTTCAGAGATGTTTAACTTAAAATGAAAATATTATATGCTTATTATAGAAAGCTTGGAAAATCCAAGAAATACTTAAAAAATGAAGGAGAAACTATCCAAATTTCTTTTTTTGGTCTACTTTTGTAGGAGTGTTTTCTTTGTATAATCACTTTTCATAATTTTTTCAGGATTAACAGTAGAAATTTTTGCATATTTTTTATTTTATTGTTCTTTGGCAATTTCATACATGAATATAATGCTTTCTGAAAGCTCTCCTCTACTCTCTTATTTCCTTCCCATCCCCACCAACCCCCCCACCAGTCTCTTTCCCAGATTCATGACATAGTTGGGTTTTTTTAAGATGTATTTATCTTTATGTGTGTGAGTGCTTGCCTGTATGTATGTGCACCATGTGCATGTCTAGTGCCCACAGAAGCTAGAAGGTGGCATAGAACACCCGGAAACTGGAGTTGCAGACAGTTGTAACAAATATGCCACTCTTGTTGATAATGGAAGAAGTTTAGTATATGGGACAGAGGCCAGAAATACATGGGCAACCCCTGTGCCCTCCTGTCAATTTCACTGTGAACCTAAAACTGCTTTAAAGAATAAAGGTAATAAAATTAAAAAATAAAATGAAAAGTTACTACACAGGTATCCACGTGGACTGGAAACAAGTAAAACTGATTATCAGTATGCTGCTCAGGCTAGTCCAGATGTCATTCCTATGCTCTCTCTAATTGAGATACTCTCACTCCAAGGTAGTCACGTGGCTCATTTCTCACCTGCATGGGTCTGGGCAGTAAATACAAGAGAGATGGGAATGACAGCTCTCTCCTTCCAGCCCTCAGGCACTCAGACTATTTCCATCTGGTGAAATTCCTCAGAACACATGGTCTCAAAGTTCTCCAAGGCAGAAGGGAGGGAGAAGAAGGCTCATTGACTGTGAGTGGCTTTGGATTCAAAGTGACATGCCCATTCTGCTCACAATCTATTAGCCAACACCAACCGCCTGGCCCTGCTTTACTGCAGGGAAGGCCAGGAAGCATAGAAGAGCACACATAGATGGTTTCTTTACAGTCATCTCGTGAAGTCTTCCCTACCACCCTTCCACCCCCCAGCACTCACCAGCATCCTTTTACATTTTATTTTTCTCTATAGTATGTGTCATCCTACATACTGTACATCTGAGTACCTCAGATGTTTCTGCCTTCCCACTAGCAATCCATGGGCACCTGTGGGGCAGAGGCTTGAATGTGTCATTGACGGTGGCACTTCCAGCATCTAGGACAGTAGCTGGCATGTGATAGGAATTCCACAAATTTTTATGAAATTAATGAACAAATTCTGCAATGCCAGTCTCTATTTGTATGTGGAGGAAGTATTACTGAACTGAGAAGGCTTCCCAAAGTAGAGTTAAAATAATAAAGAACCCTTCCTTAGAGCATACCTCATAATTTCTTGAATGCTTATTATATACCAGACACCATGCTTGGTGCCAAGAACACATGTGATTGAGAAATAATCCTGACACCTAACCAGGAATACAGTATTAAAATATGCACTATTTATTCAGATTCGTAGTAGAAATAAACTACAGGAGCTCAAAAGGTCAAATTCTTCCAATATTTTAATAGGAGTGAGATTTTATATCTAAACATTACCAGACTAGCAACAAATAGGAGGAATAAGGGACTCAGGAATCATATATTACTTCCCAAAGTCATAAAAGAAAAAGATCTATATTCCATGCCATTTTGTATTCTCAACATCAAGCTGTCTTTGCGTTTTCATTCACCCCCATTCCTCTTCCGTTCATCCTGAGAGGAAGTAGCAGCCCCTGTGTGCTAAGTTAAACTAAGGTGCCTCAACTATTTCAAGAATTTACCCTTCTAATAATTTCAGAATTGTAGAAATTTTGTCATTTAAAATCTGCTTATTTGGTCTCCCAACTCCACCCCTGTCACCCCTCCTACACCTTTGCAAGGAAATAGGCAGTTTTTTGAACTTAGGTGTGGCATTAATGAGAATCCTGCCAGAACTTAATAACAGAAAAGGAGTGGGAAAAAGAAGCTCTGGGCTCGGGTCTGGGCTTTAAGAGGACCACAGGCAAGGACTATAGAGGATTGAAACTGGACAAAATGTCAAGGGAAAAGGAAAGACGAGAAAGCAACAAGGACAGCAAAGGCAAACTTACTTGCCCTGCCAGTTTGCATCGAGACACCTTTGCTTGCATCAGAGGACACAAGTTAGTTCTTTAACACACACAAAAAAGAATTAGAGTCAGCCGAGAATGAAAAAATCCAAAATGTTAGCAGTGTTCCTGTACTGAGCCCACACTCCTCATGCTCACAGTTTTTCCATGCAGGGCCTTAGCTCCCAAATCTATTTCATGGTCCAAGATGTCAATTCTAATCATCACATCCATTTTCCAATTAGCAAAAAGCAGAAAAGGAGGAAAGAATAATTACCAATTCTTTTGTAGCCAGTCAAAACCTAGAGACTTGCAGTGCTAAGCTAACTTGCATTATTTTAGTTTCTTTAGGTCAGGTAACAACTTGACTGGGTCCTCTGACTCAGGATTTCTCACAAGAAGGCAATCAAGGTGTCATCCCAGCTTCTCAAGTTGGGAAGGATCTGCTTCCAAGACACTGTGTTTTTGGCAAGACCTTGCTTGCTGCAAGCTGTTGTATTGATGGCCTGGGCCCCCCACTTATTATTGGCCAAAGGCATGCTCAGTTCCTTGTGGCATGCACATCTCCATAAGGCAGTTTACAACACGGTAGCTTACTTCATCCAAGCAAGCAAGAAGAATGTGAGCATGATGGAAGCCAAAGCTTTTTGAAAGCTGGTCTTGGAAGTGACTCCCCATTGTTTTATGCTACATTTTGTGCACTGAGAACACTTGCTCTAACCCATACTCAAAGGGAGGGGATTATACATAGGTATGATTTCCAGGAAGTAGAGTCTCTGGGAACCAATTAGTGCTTGTATTCTTTTTCGGTATTTATTTTGTATGTGTAGTATTTAAGTCTGTGTGGATGCAGGTGCATATGTGTTACAGCATGCAAGTGGAAATCAGAGAGTTGGTTCTCTCTTGACATTTTATGCTATCTGGGGATCAAACTCAGGTTGTCAGTCCATGTGCACAAGCGCCCCAACCCACTGAACCATCTTGCCAGTCCTCCAGGAGCCATTTTAAAAGCTCTTAACAAAGAAGGGTCTTCTGATTCCCAAAGACTTTCCCTAAAATTGCATACACCAAACCTGCTTGCTTAGTATTGGCCCACATGTAGAAAATGTATTCTGGGTACCAACTGGCCCATCTAAAATTGAAGGCTTTAGGCTGGTGAGGTGGCTTAGTCAATAAAATGCTTGTCTTGAAAGTTTAAGGACCTGAGTTCAATCCCAAAACCTACATTTAAAAAAAAAGCTAGGCATGGTGGTGCATGCTTGTAATCTCAGTGCTTGGTGCTCCTTGGTCAGATAGCTAGCCCATTTAGTTAGTTCTAGGCTACT